ATATTTAAAAATGTTGTATTTTTTCACTTACTTTCATTTAGGTAAAAGTTGCTTACATTTAATAAATTAATTAAAATAATTACTGCAAGAAATTATACAACATTTTTAACTATTTGAAATATATACAATGAAAATTGTATGATGAATGAAATAAAAACTGCTTTGAGCTAAATATTCAAGTTTAAGTCAAAACTAAGTAAATAGTTTGCTTAAAAATAACGTTTAAATGTTAACTATTTGCATGAAATACAAAGAAATCAATCATTGTAAACAAACCGCAAGAACAACTTAACATCGGGTTTTCAACAAAATCTGTATATAAACTGCATTAACAAACACATTTTTAGTGCAAATGAATAGTAAATAATACTGATAGATGTATTTACTAAAAAATGTGTATAAATTAATAGAAGCAGATGTAAATGAAAAACGGCAAAGAAACAAAGTAAAAGAAAATTGATGAATAATTATAAATTTATAAAAAATAATGATTGTTAATTGTAAAACTGTGCAGAAATGTGTAAAAATTCGTGTAAACAAATACATAAAAAAAACTCGAGTAAATATATGAGAAATGCAACGAAATTTCTATGTAAACTGCTAAAAACTGCATTAACAAATAAATTTTTACTGCAACAAAATAATGACTGACAAATTTATTTACTTAAAATAGTGTATAAATTTTAAGAAAAAGACGTAAATTTTGGAAATGAAAAACTGCAAAAAAAAAATAAAGTATTTCAAAAGGTGAAAGAAAATAGATGAATAATTGTAAATTTATAAAATATAATGATTATTCAATGTATATAATTGTGGAGAAGTGTGAAAGAATTCATGTAAACAAATACATTTAAAAAAAAAATAAGTAAATACGTAAGAAAATGTACAAATATATAATTTGGTTTGTTTCAATAATTATTACATCTTTATATATAAACTATTAAATGTAATTAGAATTAACATTAACATTGATTTTTTTTTTAGATTTTCTCAAATCAAAGAAGAAAAATGTATTGTTAAAAACAATAATTTTTTGCTATTCAAATTTACGTTCTACAAAACTGTAATTATGATTGTACATGTATAATTATGCAAAAGTATTATTAAGTTTATATATTTATTTAAGTAATACGCAAATAGAGAAATTGCTTGTCTATTGTATATTTGTAATGGATTTTCACAAGCGTTTTTCCTAGAAATTGAAATTACGTAAGCATATCTCCGGTTATTACGCCTTCGATACAGATAACAGTGTGCTTTACAATACGATTTACTGCCGAACTGACCTTTGGAGCCGATTCGAATGGTCATAAAACTGGCCACATGACATATTTTTTTTTATCCATTTTGCACTTTACTTGCCGCTAAGCAATATAAAGTTTAATTGCCAACACACTTACCAATATATGGACGTATCGTCCTAGAATTGACCCCTTAAAGGAAAACGCATTGCCGAGAATCGCCATGACACCTCAACGAAGTTAGTTAAATGTTAGTACAATCTGTTTACTTATTAAAATTATTTGCTTTGTTGTGATCATGAATGTACGTTTTTTTTTAGTCAAATTTAATTAAAATATTCATTTTTCTTATAAAATCGTATCCTAAAAATTTTTATGTAAATTAAATTAATGAAACGTTTATCTTCACAATATTTATAATTAATAATTTTATGTTTTTCATTTTAAGAATATACAAAAATATCTTAAATAGTAATTATAATTAAGTTTTTACGTTTAAATAATTTATATAAGTTTCCTTTGGTGTTCAAATTGTAATTTTGTAGAAGACGTTTTGTATTTTGGGCAACAGATGGAGACAGCGTTTCTTTCTTGTTGTTGATGTTTGTGCGTGTGCACCCCTCGCATACCCCCGGAAAACAGCAGCAGCAGTAGTAGTAGTAGGTTGCAAGGGTAGTTCGGGGCCGCTCGCCCCGCCCCTCCCATTGTTCTCCTTTTCGTTCATTCATTGAAAACGAAAACCGGTCATCCTTGGATACGCGAAACGCAGGACCGGAAAGACCAACTGCACACGACACACCAGCAGCAGCAGCAGCTTGTTTCTTTGTTCATCGGGCCTTAACATATCCACCCATAATCAAACCATGCTCATCCATTATTATATAATTATGAAAATAATACAATTTACATTGAATGCATTATCAATGCAACTTACATAAATTATATATTATAGTTAGTAAACCTATTATTTCAAAATAAACAATATTAAGTTAAATTATTTATTAACAAATTACTGTTTCATATAAATAAACAACTTATGTTATTTGTTAAGAAATTACAATTTCTTAAATGAAATATTTACAATTATCTTTTTTAACTTTTTTAAAACAATTCTTGATACCTCAATGAATGATTTATACAACCAGAGTATTCACTCAAATACTATTATTTATTTTTAGATTTTGATTCCAATGTTTGTTTATGTGTGTGTCTATTGTATACAATTTCATTTTTCAAAATGAAAGTTTGTGTGGGTGGAACATATGTTATCTAAGGAATATGACCAGGAGAACAGAAAATGAAGAAATAATAGACTTATAACCGAAAATAGAACGAATGCTGCTGCTTTCAGTAAATATTATATACACAAATATCATCAATTTTATTGCAAAAGTCACAGAACGTACAGAATGTTAACAAAATTTCATATAAATTAATATATATAATTCTAATAATTAACAACTATAAGCAAAGATCTACTAAGCATAGATCTTTCAGCATTATTATTTCTTTCAATTTCTTAATTATTAAATTAATAACCCAAATTTTCTCACATTTATTTACAACCTATAAATATATTAAAATCGTTTATGTATTTCAATGTTATTTTTACTTTTAGAACAAGTTTTCATACGACAACAAAGGATTGAAAATAGGTTTAATTAATTAATGAAAATTTGATTTCTATTTGATGTCAATTACAAAAGAAAAATGTTTAATTTGCTGTTAGTTTAATTTTATTTCTATTTATGAAATTTGTATAAATGTTTATTAACCATAGATATTTCCTCTCAACTATTTATAAATTGTGCTTTAAGCAGACGAAATTCTCTCATATTTATTTATAATACAAAGATTCATTAGAATTTGAGTATTTCAATATATTTTCATAACAATTTTTTATACAACCAAATCAAATTTGTAAATAACTTTAATAGTGAGAATATTAGACAATATAATACAAAGATTCATTAGAATTTGAGTATTTCAATACATTTTCATAACAATTTTCCATACAACCAAATCAAATTTGTAAATAACTTTAATAGTGAGTAAAAAAAAAATATGAAGATTTTCTCTATCTTTTATGTCTATTAACAGAAGATATTTAAATGTTTGCTAAAATTGTCAATTAATTGAATCTAAGTCTAAAATATCATCAATTTGCTGCGATTACAAGTGTCTTCTGCATTTTGAGCTATGTTAAATCCAAGGAATCAAAGCATCAATTCAGATGTGTACTGTCTATAAGTAATGAATCTGGAGGAAGTAATCAAGGAAAAACGGCCAGAATTGGCAAATCGTGTTTCACCTAAACAATGCAAATCCAATGATGCAGCAATGATCTTTCACCATTAAATTAAAATTTATTTCGAAGTTTGCAAATCTCTTTGAATGGTGAAACTTTTACTAATAATGATGATCTTAAATCGCACTTCATTCAGTTTTTTTGCTAATAAGGACCAGAAGTTCTATGAGCGCGGAATCAGGAAATTGATATGCCAAAAGCCAAAATATGCCAAAAAGTCATCGAACAAAATGGAAAATATATAGTTTATTAAAGTTCATTCTTTATATACAAGAAAAAAAAGTTTCATCTAACTTAAATTTAACTAAAATTTCTGAGTTTATTACAAATTTTCATAAAATTTCTAACTAATTCTACCATTTCCAAAAATAAAAGTTTAATAATTTGATATCATTTTTCTATATTAAATATTTTGTTTTCTATTGAATTATTGTATATTTCCATCAAAGATCTTTAATTTCCTCTCGCGTATTGAATCCCAACACTCGTTTCCATTTATGTGTCCATTCTCATCAATTCGCTCTCTCTCTCTCTCTCATCTGCACATTGTATGATGCGTTTGATTCACACGATGATTGAAAGCTGCTCCACACGACTGAACACCACTCATCGCACCAAAATACTCTCCACTCTCCATCATCAATGGGCAAGTCTATTAAAAACTAATCCCGCTTCGTAAGCATCCACCGGAATTTCTATGCAACTGCACATATTCAATCCCAATAACACAAAAAAAAAACCATTTTACAATACACTTCAAAATCCCATTCATTAAAAAAACTGTTTTTAATATCTTCCTTATATTTGCATCATTTTTTTTAATTCATCTAATAAAATAATTATTGAAATTTACATTCACAAACTTTTTTTTTAGAAAATCTTCTTTAATATAGTATAGTTCCTCGATTAGTCCGGTTTCAAACAAACGGTCTTGAATTTATGTAATTTGAATTAACACTTTCTAAGAAATGCATCTATAATATATGCATCTATATAAATCCAAGTTGCGTAAATGAAAAAAATACTTTTTCGAAAAGTTGTAGAGAAAATGATTATGAAAACGTTTAAATTTTTGATTGTTTTGTCAATTGGCAGAAGAAATATACACAATTTTATGAAGAAAACACTTAAGATTTTCACTTTTCCGCATCGTCCGAAATTGGTTTCGGATGTGGAATGGTTTTAGAAGGAAGAATTGTCGATGCATCATGTCGCGTAATGAGTAATAACTGTAATTAACGCCGCGAGAAGGAACCCGTCGTTTCCTATGCGACTTTATACAATAATTACACAATTAATATGCATGCAAATATACCGGCTCCACGATAATTAAACTTATTTTTTTTTAATTGGTTCGTTGTATAATGATGGTGTATTAGTTTGTTTTTCCTTGGTAACAAGTTTAGTAACTTCTTGTGAGATTGTTCTTCTTGAAGTTTTTTTTTTTTTAGAATATCGTGGCGACACCTATCGGTTGTCGGGAGGATTCGAGTCTCCCCCATCGCAACCCCACGACCCTCTTCAGACCCTGTTGTTTGCCCATTCAAAATGTAGGGGGACGAAAGCACGCTTCATCCTCAACAACTGCAACGAACAATGGAAAAAAAAAAAATAGAATTATGTCATATACTAATTAAATTACATGTACATAATGTAATAGGAAATGTGTAATTTAGACTCATTGTTGTGAAAAAAACAAAATCAATGTCATAATTAGCAATCTAATTAGTTTCCAATGATGTAAAAGTAAAATAATTTAAAAAAGGGTTAATGTATACATTTACTAGATAATATGCGGCAATACCTCCCATAATGCGGGTATTTAATTTCACCAACGTCCCGCACTGTTTGAAACCAATAATAATAATAATTTTGTATACTAATTTTTGGTAAATATTGAAACATTTCCCATATATATCCCTATAAATCTTTGAAAATCACTTGATTTTAACCATGAAAAATGTAACTCAAATTTATAACATTTCTATTAATATTTCTAACTTACTTTTCAAATAAATCTAATAAAATTTCTTAATTTTTCATGAATTTTTTAATTCTTGTTATTCTAAAAAAAATGATGTAACAATCTTAATTATAGTATATAACTGAAATGACAGAAATTGACTTTCTTTACATATTTAATGATGAAATTACTTGATTTTAACCATGAAATTTTTAACTACAATATTTTCATGATTTTTTTCTGGAAAATTTGATGTGACAATCTTAATTATACGATAGTTAACATGAGCACGCAATTAACTGAAATGGCTAATTATCGTGATTTCAATTAATAAAGCATACATGCTATGCACGGCGGAGGAGGGTGGCGGCTCGGTTTAAACAGATTACAATCAAATACGCAATTAAGCCGAACCCTGTTTCGGTGTAAACGGCATCAATCCAGCAAACGGGATAATGCGGATCCCGTGCCCGTTTGATCTCCCATCCCAAAACCCTGAAATTGCTCGACGCTGTTTGATCCTGCAATTGCATGTCCATCGTTAAACTTTAATTACAAATCGAAAATTCTTGTTGTAAAGTCAAAAAACACCCAAGGTTTAACACTTTTTTTTATAGACAAGAATCCAGTAGTTTTTCTTGCTTTAAACAACTTATACAAACTGTATTTTTTAAGTAACGTTGAACTTTTATTACAAATCGAAAATGTTTGTTTTAAAGTAAAAAAAAAAAACATCAAAAGATTAATACTATTATTTTATAGAATAATACAAGAATCAAGTAGTTAAGTTATTTACATTGGAAAAACTATTACAAACTATATTTTCTTTAGTATATAAATTTATGAAACGTTAAACTTTAATTACAAATTGAAAATTCTTGTTGTAAAGTCAAAAAACACCCAAGGTTTAACACTTTTTTTTATAGACAAGAATCCAGTAGTTTTTCTTGCTTTAAACAACTTATACAAACTGTATTTCTTATGTAACGTTAAACTTTTATTGCAAATTGAAAATGTTTGTTTTAAAGTAAAAAAAACATCAAAAGATTAATACTATTATTTTATAGAATAATACAAGAATCAAGTAGTTAAGTTATTTACATTGGAAAAACTATTACAAACTATATTTTCTTTAGTATACAAATTTATGAAACATTAAACTTTAATTAGAAATTGAAAATTCTTGTTGTAAAGTCAAAAAACATCCAAGGTTTAATACTTTTTTTTTTATAGACAAGAATCCAGTAGTTTTTTTTGCATTAAACAACTTATACAAACTGTATTTTTTATATAACGTTAAACTTGTATTACTAATCGAAAATGTTTGTTGTAAAGTCAAAAAAACACTTAAAGTTTAATACTTTTTTTATAGACAAGAATCCAGTAGTTTTTCTTGCATAAGTTGTTTACTTATACAAACTGTATTTTTTATGTAACGTTAAACTTTTATTACAAATCGAAAATTTTTCTTTTAAAGTAAAAAGAAACAACATCCAAAGATTAACACTTTTTTATTGAATAATACAAGAATCAAGTAGTTATTTACATTGAACAACTATTCAAAACTATATATTCTTTAGTATATGAATTTATGAAACGTTGAGCTATAATTACAAATCGAAAATTCATATTATAAAGGATTGACACTTTTCTTATAGAAAATACAAGAATCCAGTAGTTTTTTTTGCAATAAGCAACTTAAAAGATAACTTTTATAAACTGTATTTTCTATTATATCAATTCTTTCTATTCTTTATTATATCAATATATTAATGGCTAAACTTTAATTACAAAAAAAAATAATTAATTTTTGGTACATTTACTTAATTTTTCATAAAATATACAATAATATCTTTGCATTAAAGAAAGTTTTCAAAACTTATATAATATATTGACAAGATTGTGATTTAATTTATTAATTAATGTAGTGAGTAAAGCAAAAAAAACAATAAATTAATGATTGTTAAAATATTGAAAATCAAAATTATCTACTGTGGTGGGATACTGGGATAATCCGGCTGTAATGAAGGTATTTGTGGGTAAATCCGCTCCCACAATGAGTTGAAAAGACGCTGCCCACGTAATCTAATCTTGAACAAACTTACTCATTCGCTCATTGTGTTTATTCAAGATTGGACAGATAGTATAGGAGACACAGTTGAATACGTAAAGAAAAGGTACACAAAGTCACAGTGATTTTATTCGCTTGACTCAGGAAATACCAAATTTGCAACAGTGATGACAAAATTTAAATTAATACTACTTAAATTATTTAAGATAAAATATCATTTGTTAATAACAATTGTTGATAAATTATGATTAACTTTAAAATTAGGTTACTTTCACAATAAAATTTCAATTAATATATTTTTTTTATTGGATTAAACGAAATTATTTGTAAAAATTTAAGTATTTATACAAAAAATTATAATTTTTAAAGTGAATCAAATTATGAATCGTTAATAAATTTTAATTATTTCTTTGAAAATACATTTGATCACAAAATTTCAATGAAAACAAACTTTTGTATTAAACATAAATTAACAAATTCCTTAATATTATTGAATATTAATATTATTTTACTAACATTTATTTTTTACATTTTTATATTATTGCAATTGAAAATTTATAAAGTGTTGAGGTGCTTCTATGCAGAAGCTTTTTGGCAAAATGACAAAACTGCGTATTTTTACGGAATCCTAAAAATAAACCGCGCGAACCTAGAAATAAATGCGTATATTTTCTCTCGGTGTTGTTCACCGCGAGGATTTTGGCACGTGATTTATTCTTTCATCAGAAACTCCACGATCCAAGAATCCTCAACGCACATGCTTTTACAATGTTTACAAATCTGTTTTTATTTCTTTTATTCATAAACAATTAAACAAGAAACACATAATCAAATTAATTAGAAGATTTAGGAGATGTTTTCAATTAATATTTATGGAATTTATTATTGATATTTCATGTTGTTATTCATATTTTATGGAAAATAATATTTCCAATAAATCCGTTCCAAAATTTCCGGATTTTTATATAGTGAAATACTCGTATAATACCCATATAAACTAATGTAAATTACGTAAATTACGGTAATGTTAATCACAAATAACATGTCTGAACACAAGTTTGGGAATATATGTGATCACAAACAACACTGAGATGCAACTAGAATGACCACTAACACTAGGAATTGTTTTCCAATTCACACACGGTGAAGTGAGTTTATATTTGTTTATATTACTTGTATCAATTCGGGGACTTGTTGGAAGTTTCTTTATACTTTTAATATTTTATATAAAAAAGCGTACATTGTCTGTTAATATATTGTAATAAGGGTTGGACACAATACATTTGTGTTTTGCATGTACAGCAAACACAAATTATATTTGCAAAGTATAATCCGCTTTAAACAAAGATGAGAAAGAAAATCGAAGATGTACACAAGTTTTAAAAATGATGTAGAAGACGTGAAATCCGGGAGTTCTCTTCTCATCATCACTCCTTATGCGAGGTTCCACTGTATGTATATCATATTAATTAGACAAATAAATTAATTTACAAACGTTCTTTATTAATGAACTGACTATAAAATTTGTAAACTGTCTCCTTGTACACGCTTTATTGATAATGTAACAAATCTGCGCGGCGACGTCCTTCTCACCCCATTTGCTACAAGTTTTTTTTTTTATTCTCTCTCCTTCTCGTCCCTCTTTGTCCTCCCACGCACGACCTCTCGTCCCTAAAACCATCCACTTTCTCTCCTCTTAAGCACTTTTAAAGCGCACGACGCCGCCTTCCCAACATATTTAACTCGACGACTAGACGGAACGAGCGCATATTTTTCGCCTCGCCTCTGCTTATAAATTACCATCATGTAACACAAACAAACCAAAAAAAAAAATGTACATAAAACGAAACACTTTTATTTTTACTGCAGCATTATTTTTACACATTGATTATTTTTTCAAATTTTTTATTTCAAACAAACAAAACTTTTCTTTTTCTTTATAAAATTTACAAAAATAATTATAGCATTTCCATTGTTCCAATAACTAATAACAATTAATCAAAAATTTCATTTTTTCTATTGTTTTTTTTTATAAAATTTACAAAAATAATTATAGCATTTCCATTCTTCCAATAACTAATAACAATTTATCAAAATTTTCATTTTTTCTATTGTTTTTTTTTATAAAATTTACAAAAATAATTATAGCATTTCCATTCTTCTAATAACTAATAACAATTAATCAAAAATTTCAATTTTTCAATTGTTCTTTATAGAATTTTCAATGAAATTTCAGTTATTGAAAAAAAAAAGATTGTGACTTTTTTTTTTAAATCAAAGTCTGATGTCTGATAAAAGTTGTTGAAGTATATAAAATCCATTACCATAAATTTCCATGTCTGATTTTTCCCTTCGAGTTTTTCATGTGAGTCGGTAGGTGTAAGTATTCTTCATCGTCGGATGGATTTTAACAGCGAATCGATGGGGGAGTGAATAAAAAAGAAGCCCGAGAAAGTAGGGATGTGTATAAAAAAAAAACGAGTAGATGGATAAATAATGCATGGACGAGGTAAAATGCGAGGATAGAAAGCTGTCGC